CTCGTAAAATTCTCTATCGAATGGTATATAATAGTTGGGGTTTTAGTTGACTATGATAGGAAAATTTTTTTACGAAAGCGGAGACAGGTCGATCTTCTCATAGGAAAGCATAGGGAAAAATAACTATTTTTGCAATAACTCAGCAATGGCCCGGCCAATCATTCTCATCTTCGAACTCGACCGAGATATTGTTGAGACTAAACTGTGTAGAAAATTTCATCGCGATTGGAGTCTCCTTTTAAAAGTTATCGTGTTAACGGCCGGACACACTGACCGATTCTAGAGTGTACTCACTTTTTGAGTACACAAAAATCAGCTCGTTTGCTTCAGCCATAATGGAGATATTCGAGTTTTTTTTCGGTAAACTAACTTTTGCGCCACCCTGTATTTCACAATATAAATAACTAATAGTTGAACTAACAAAATGCATGAATATTCCCAGACGTAAGACAAGTAAATGGCATAATATACACAACCTAGGCTCACAAACTTTACAATAGACATTGATCTGAAAAAAGTTCAACAAAAAGAACGACTGCTACTATCAATAAGAAAAAGAATGTCAAAAGACTATTTTCAAAAAAATCTCATGTTGATTTAAAAAATTTTATTCAAAAGTATATAGATGTTTTAAAGAAATGTAGAGTACTAAAAGTGGAAGATGTCTTGATAACTATTATTTGTTTCTTATCTCTCTATCTTTCTCGATTGCTTTTTGTTCGCCTACTATTATAATAATGTAATCAAAATGATTTGATTATGGCACTGTATTCTATATAACATGAACTTTACAGGTATGACCTGCTTCTACTTGCTACAACATTTTCTTTTCGTATTTCGCTTTTATACATGTCGTTTCTCGTATGGTCAATATATACCATAGGATGTGTGGCAGAGGAAACGCGTCTTCTACGTTTTTATATTGAATTGAAAATTGGTAACTCTTATCGGATGAATAAAAGTGTTATGTCAAAAAGAAAAAAAGATCTCTCTTTCTACGTTATTTGTTGTTGCAGGAATAGACAAAACTGAACGACTGGTACTGTCTTCTGCAACTCATTTTCGGTTTTTGAGGCGCAAAGACAAAAAAAAACACTTTTTTCAAAAATGAAAACTCAGAAAGTGACTGTCCAAATTTATAGGGTATGAAGGTCTCACCCTGTCCTCTCATGCACCCTGTGCTACCTTACTATCCTAAAGCAGGGCAGGGTTATCCTACCCCATGGGCATCTCTGATAAACAATTATTTTTCTAGAAATAAACGATAATGATGAATTATAAAAAGAGAGAAAAACATATTATATTATATAGATTTTTTATGAGAACAAAAATATGCATGATTAATAGATAAAGAAGAAATATTTACAACATGTAAAAAGCTAATGTAAAGAACAACAAAATAAATACAAATAGAGAACAAGTTTGCTTTTCTTTTACATAGAATCAAATAATCATTTTTTAATTACTTTATCATTTTTTATATTTGGTAAAATTGTTTCACCAATAAATGTTTGAAATTGATGTGAATTTATTGAAACATATTTATTACACCTATTTTTAGTAAAAAAGATATCATTATTTTTTTGTTTTGTTGAGTTCCTTATACCAATATATATACCTGCTTATCTACCGTAACAGTTAAGAATAATCGAACCGCTAGAACCAGACAAAATACTGCAGTTATGTAAGGAATATGAATCATTTTGACGTGCTTCTCTGATAAGATGTCCTATTGAAATTGACTTATAATTAACATGATGACAGCGATTCAATTGGTAAATCGTTGTATTATTGAAATCTTCTAAATATCTATATGTTGCTAAGTCCTTTTGTTCAAGTAATTCACCATTGTATCCCACAAGATATAGGTTTGAATTGATAGGAATATCACCTGGTTTTGATGAAACGAAATCAAATTTTGGATTAAAATATTGATCTTTTGTCATGTTTGGTGTTTTATTGTCCAACATTAATAAAGCAAGATCTGTATCAGTATCTTTGAGTTCAGTATGTTCATCAATATTTTCTTTTGCTAAACCACGTTGAAGTATTTTAGCTGAAAATACTATTTTTTCATGATTCAATAATGACAAAAGTTTATCAGAAGCAGGATCGCAAAAATCAACCAATATTTTTGAATAAGATATTTTATTTGTACCTTATAATATTAGATCGAATATATGTGCACATGTTAAAAGAAGATTACTAGTTATTAAACAACCACTAGCAAAGGTCATTTGAATTGCTGCTTCACGTTCATAAACAATTGCAATACGAAGAACTAACGATCTAATCGATAACAATGACGATTTTATTTGATTTTCATTTGAAGCTTTCAGTATAAAAATTTGCCATGTTGGTCCATCATATATATATATAAGGATATGTTTCTTGTATAGAGTTGGTTTGAGTATTAACAAATGCTCTTTTATTTGAAACTAATTTAGGCATATTTTTATGTTGTTTAATATTATTTGTTGTTCTTCTGAGCTAGTCTAAAGTTAAAAAAACTCTCGTAAGCTATATTTACGTATAAAAATCATATAAACTTCTTTTCTTACTAATGAATCTAAATCATTTGAAAATAAATAATAATGTCTGGGAATTTTTATAAATTGATCACGGTCTTTCCAGAAATTTCCTGTTAAATTATGAAATCTAAATAAAAAATAAAATAAAATAAAATAAACGTCGATTTAATTCTTATGTTTACCAGTGTGAGTGTGGGTGTGGGTGTAGTTACACTCAATCTACATCCACGCCCACGCCGACACTCACACCCCACAGCCATACCCTATTTTATTATTTAAGATGTCATCCTTCTCTGAATAAATTGTTCATATTGATGATTTCCATGATGTGTAAAAATTTTCATCCTTATTCTCTTCTTGTTTTATCTGTATTAATAAAAACAATCAACTTTCTGTGAACATCAACATATATATGATATAGGAGTCAATCACACTGACTTAAGTCAAAGTGAATTAACCAATATAATTGCTGTTGTTACGTAGAAACACCAGTTATGTTCCTTAATTCACTTTGAATTAAGTCAGTGTGATTGACCCCATAAGCCTTATCTACACTAGAAAAATCATTTGGTATTCATTTCGAATTAAATCTACATACGTCTATACTTATGAATTTAATGCATCAATCAGAACTAAGAAATGGCCACTATAATTTAGTCGAAGTGCATAATTCTAGCGCGTGTTCATGAAGAAAATGAGATCGCTTATCTTTCTCATTAATTGTTATGGTTCATCATATTGTAAATATCTTGCTATCGATAATAAAGAACGACTTTATCAAGGTTTATTCATCATTTTGATTAGTAGATCGCAGTCTTTCTCGATTGGTGCATCAAATTTAATTCGTCTCTGAAAAATGCATTAAAACTGAATTAACTTTCCGAGCAATCAAGTTCCTTAATTCGGTATTAAATTTTCTAGTGTAGACAAGATCATAGATAGGAGGAGGACAGAAGATTGTTATATGGATTTATATTGATTAAGGCCTTGTCCATACTAGAATAAATGCGGAAACTTCGGGTTTAAATCCGAGAGTTATGTGTACTGCAAAAAGTGAATGAGGCAGATGAGTCATCCTAGAATGTGTGGACATCGAAATTGTCCTGGCAAGCCTTTTCTATAAACACTTGATTTCTATTGGCTACTGCTCAACCAATAGGATTTGGAGGCAGATACAGCTCAGATTTGAACTATTCACCTTGGTTTACCCTAACAAACTCGCTTTTCCTATAACTTGATTTCTATTGGTCACTGCTCAACCAATGGAATTTCGAGGCGCATGGAACACAGATTCGAGTTCTCCACCCCAGGAAACCTCGAACTATCATCTCTGTGATCGAAAGATAGAGCTCTATTTATGGATCAATTAGAGCGTGGACAAACACAGAACCGAATTCCGTTTAATTATCTTTGCAATAGGTGAGTTAACTTTCTTGTTTCCTTATGTTTTATATATCATTTTGTAGCTCGTGAAATTCTCTATCGAATGGTATATAATAGTTGGGGTTTTATTTGACCATGATAGGAAAAGTTTTTTACGAAAACAGAGAAGGGTCTATCTTCTCATAGGGAAGCATAGGAAAAAATGACTATTTTTGCATTAACTCAGCAATGGCATGGCCAATCATTCTCATCTTCGAACTCGACCGAGACATTGTTAAGACCAAACTGTGCAGAAAATTTCATCGCGATTGGACTCTTCTTTCAAACGTTATCGTGTATACGGCCGGACACACTGACCGATTCTAGAGTGTACTCACTTTTTGAGTACACAAAAAGCAGTCAAATACTTATTCATTGACAGTATTGTTTATAGACATTTTAGACTTATTATCAAAATGAATTAAATTGACTACTAGTATCTATTTTTGGAAATAAGGTGGTTTGAGAAAATGCCTATTACTATTGAGTTGTATGAGATCGAAGTCTCTTGTTATTCTAGAATTGTAGATCTTGAGCTGTGCTATAGTCTTCACTATTTGAAAATCAAAAGTCATTGTACTATTAAGAAACAAGAACATGGTGAAGATTAGTAGCGGAGCCTGGGGTGAGCTGGGATGGAGGGGCTCAGTCGGCCCCCCAGAAACCTTTGAGCCCCTCCCCCCCCAGGAAAATTTTAAAACCATGTATTTTATTCGAAAACCGGGACTCAGAGGTGCCTTAGAAGGGGTTGAGCCTCTCCCAGCTCAAAATTCTGGCTCCGCCACTAGTGAACGTTGAAGAGAAATATATGCTATATGTTATAATTGATGTGTATGTCTGATATCTGGTAGTACTGTGTCCTGCTATGCTCTACCGAATAACGAAAGCCGCAGGTCTTTATAACATTTCCTTCAAAAGTTATAAACATTCGATCTGACTGCTTTATTTCCAACAATAAATACTAGTTAATCAATTGAAGATAAAATAATTGTCTATTGTATTTGATAAGACTATAAGATGGTATTTTCAACATTTTTTAGATTGATTCTTCGAATGATAATTGATTTATATCATAGATGAAGAATTTATTGTTAGATAGAGTGTCCAATATGTTGATTCAAATAATTCAATAGAAATATTCGATGGTATCGACAGCGATGCTTCTATTAAAATTTATTTTTTCATAAAATACTAAATTCAATGAATAAATCCATAAACACGAAAGATTTGTCAAAAAAAAAGAATTTTCTTGAAGATTTTATTAAAATAAAAATGTTTTATCAATAAATAGCTTCGGTTAAAATCTGTTTCATTCTGTCTTTCATTGAAATGACTTGTTGAAAGTCATAATCCATTGTGACTATGTTGAATTATCATTGAGGTGTCTCATTCGACTGCATTAGCTAAAAAGCCAAAATCAATTGATTCCACTCCCCTCGTATAGAATTTTTATTATAGATGCAGCCCTACAACATTTTTATTAGTGATATTTTTTCTCAAACTAGTTTTTTCCGATAAATTCGAGTTTTTTATAATAATAAATTCGAATTTGGATATAAAACAGTCTGAGCAATCGTCTATAGTTGGAAGCAAAAGTCATAAACGCTTCCATCGATTCTTACGAGTAGCACAGTATAGAGACGGTACTGAAAATAAACGTGTGACATCAGTTGGCTAGATTTAGGATTTAAAATAAAATATGTTATATGAAATATCAGTTATATCTTCAACATAAGATAAATAAACGATACCAAATATCTAAAAAAAACCTTGACGATGATCAGCTAAGAAATAAAAATTGTCATCATTTGGTCAGTTGTGTCAAACCTGAGAAGTTGAATTCAGTTATTGAAAATCTATTTAAACTATTCTATTATTGATTATTCCTTCTATCAGCTAGTCCTTTCGCGGCAGCCACAGTAGCGATGATAGTGAGTGTTTTTAATAATTGAATAATTCAATAGTTGAAATAGCTTTTCAATAATTTAATTCAACTTTCAGGTTTTACATATATGCCATTAGAATTTAAATTAATGGACAAGTTATATTCCACGATCAACAAATATCAAATCTCTATAGATTGTCAAACGACTAGATTTTTTCCTATTATAAACAGAGAAAACTGACCTTTCATAGGAACATACTGACTAAAACCAAAGTTATAGATGCTCTTTGCATACAAATTCCGCGGGAGTCTACGTTTACATCCATAGACAATTGCATTTCTCCGTATGACATATGGACAAATACGATCGGAAGGTAAATTCCAGTTTCGTCGAAAATAGAGTTCGCCGAAAATGAAGTTCGCCGATGCTATTATCGCCCAATGAATTTATCACCGAAAACGAATATAAGTTACAGTTAGTCGGTCTTATAGACAACGATTATATTTTAATTAATTAGCTCATGATACCGAGTCAGATGGCTACCAAATCACTCACCTTCCAAAAATAAATAATGTTAAACCAAACTACTAGATAAAGTTTTTATGCACAACATCTTTGTTTACTATTCCTTGTTTTCTTTCACTGGTATGACGAAGTCTTAACTATTAATCTCCACCAAAGCATAAAGGCTATATCGACGCCAAAAGTCTTTTTCGTAGAAATTAAGACATCTGAAGTTTCTTCTAGTGGCATCTAATTAATCAATGAACAGATTTCATCGGTATGATAACCATCTGACTTGGTATTATGGACTAATTAATTAAAATATAATCGTTGTCTATAAGACCGATTAACTGCAACTTATATTTGTTTTCGGTGATAAATTCATTCGACGATAATAGAATCGGCGAACTTCATTGTTGGCGAAGCTGAACTAAATCGATCGGAATACTGATCGATGCAATATGGCAATAGACGATAATTTACGGTCGTTTATGATCGTTCTTATTCAATCTGGAATACTTTTAGAAGTCTATCAACAAGTTAACATAGGAGTTTTAGAGATTTGTAATAAAGATCAATAATAGATTGTTCAACTTATACGAATTAATATACATATATATGCGTTATTCTGATAATAGAACTTGCAAAACCATATTTATCTATTGTCTCTCACTTTTTATTTATTTTTATTTCGGATATTTCTAAGTTCTATTTATATTTATTGAAATAATATATATCTTTTTATTTTTCAAAATTTGATGAAAATATTATATTAAATTCTATATCTGAGTCAGATATGTTCATCGATAATAGAAATTTGCAGCTGCCGCACTGCGGTTCTAGAAGAGGCAAGGGTCAACGCCGCCGTTGGCCCGCTCCTATTCGCGACATACG